GGGCAGGTGACCCGAGCGGTCCCTGGCGCTCCCTGCTCGCCCTAGAGGGTTGCGATGAACGGCCACATGTGGCCGAGGAGCAGTTGGAAATGCAAAGTGCCGCTTTCCCACCCTTGAGGGGGTAAAGGAGTGGGGGAAGCGGTCGCAGGTCGTAAAGCAGAAGAGACTTTTCAGAGAGGAGAGGCTGCTTTTCTGCCAGCATGCGCGAGCAAAACCGTGTCACGGTAGGAAGCAGACTCTGCGAGCTTGTGGAGTGGGTTTCAGAGTTGCATACGGAGTCGTTCAGTTGTACTTTTCTTTACATAAAAGGAAATGGAGGCCTCAAAATCAGCGTTGGTTCCCTGGAGGTTAGAGCCTGCGTGAGCACGTACCTACTACTGTGTGTCTGCAAACCTGGATCTGTGAACACAGATTTGTATTTATGGGCAGAGTGACCCGAAGGCCTTGCAGTCTGAGCTGCTGAGGGAGCCAAGGGGAAGGTTACCAAGCAGTAAGGTGTTTCCTGGGCATGAAAACTAGGATCAAAAGGGCAGACGTTAGAAAGACTTCCTTAAAGTTGTAGGCCCACATTGCTGCGTGTAAACATCTTGTGGTACGCTTGAAAAATCCTTCTTTTTTGGGTATGGCGCTTGCAAATCGTTAATGCTGCTTTGAAAGCCGATGTCTAGGACTCTGTATCTTGCATGTCTTTTTACTGAAGGGGTTTATGGAAGAGTCAGTGAAAAAAAGCTAATTTTCTTTTATCTATGTTTCTTCAGTTATCTAGTCAGAGTGAAGTCGTCACAAGAGTTCTTCAGAGACTCTGTGAGAAAAGAAAGAAGAATGTCCTCGCGTATGGATACTCCTTACTGGATGAAAACAGTTCTCAGAGCCAAATCATGCCATTTTCAAGTATATGCAGCTACCTACCCAATACTGCGACGGAAACTCTTCGATTCAGCGGCTTCTGGGAAACACTGCTGAGCAGGATAGGGGACGATGTGATGATGTATTTATTGGAACACTGTGCAATCTTTATGCTGGTTCCCCCTAGTAATTGTTACCAAGTTTGTGGGCAACCAGTTTATGAGCTTATTTCACATAATATAGACTCGTCCCCAGTATTTGTTAAACAAAGGTTCTCAAGACATAGACGTAGTAGCTTGCTTGACTATGTGCAAAAAAGGCTTATGTTTCATAGAAAGTGTCTTTCAAAGTCACAGGGGTGGAAATGCAGACGAAGACTTGAGGATAATGTCTCCAACAAGGAACATAATAAAAGCAATAAGATACGAAGCTTAGTGCCTCGTTGCCAGTTTCCTGCGAACGCTGTTTCTAAAGCAAGCAAACGGGTCAGAATGGTTACTGAACATCCAAAGCAATAAGATACGAAGCTTAGTGCCCCGTTGCCAGTTTCCTGCAAACGCTGTTTCTAAAGCAAGCAAACAGGTCAGAATGGTTACTGAACATCTGGAAGAACAGGGTAGCTCCAATTTATGTTTGTCAGCTACGGCATCATCTCTGAAAAGGAAGCTTCATAACGAACAGCTTGAAATTCCAGCTAAGAGAGCAAAAGTAGAGGAGAAAGTGAGAGAGGAAAAGGCTTGTTATCTTACACCTGATGTAAACCAGAGTAGTTCCAAGAGATATGAAACTGGGTCTGTAGCGTCACTTTCTGAAAGTCTCATTAAAAACCCCCACGTTTCTCAAAGAAGTGACAGTGATGTGTCTGATTCTTCTTCAGTTCACACATCTCGTGACAGGAAGAAGTTTGTGGCAAGTGAAAGCTCTCTTCTCCAAGAAGCTCAGAGTAACAAATCTTTAAAGTCCAGCACTGAAATGCAAGCAGAATCCTGTAGGAAAGGAGTAGAGATGCATATGTATGAATCTCAGTTGGATTCTGTACAAGTCAAACCTGTGGAGGGTATTTCTTCAGTATGCAGAATGCTGGAAAATCCCCAGCCTCATTTGGCAAAGAAGTTACCAAATACACTCTTGCGTTCTGCAGTATGCATTGACAGGAAGTCTATTCTGTATTCTCGCAGGAGTTTCCAAGAATGTTTCCCTAAATCATTTTTATTGAATCACTTGCAAGGCTGTCAGGCAGGTGGAAGAAGGCTTGTAGAAACTATATTCTTAAGCCAAAATCAGTTGGAGCAAAGGCATAACCAAAGTCTGCCGCATCACAACTGGAGAAAGAAGAGGTTGCCCAAACGCTACTGGGAAATGAGACATACATTTCAGAAATTGTTAAATAACCATAGAAAGTGTCGTTACTTAGCCCTCTTGAAAAAAAATTGCCCTGTTCAGATATCTGAAAACAATACAGGGAAAAAAGAGCTGCCTCGTCAGGTGGCCTTGCCTGGGGAAGCAGAGGCTCACAAACAAGCAGAACAGTCTGGGAAGGAGGCTACCAAGTGTGTGACAAGCAGCAGATGTGAATCTGGTCACACTGATGTGCCAGATAACTTAGGTGCTCCTCTTGTAAAATCTGTGCATGGGGAGTTGCAGAGTGAGAAGCAAAACCTGGGAGAGGTGGGTGATACAGCCCTCAAGGAGCTCCTCAAGCAGCACAGCGGGCACTGGCAGGTGTACCTGTTTGTGAGGGAGTGCCTGGAGCAGGTCATCCCCGCTGAGCTTTGGGGTTCAAACCATAACAAGTGCCGGTTCCTAAAAAATGTGAAGGCGTTCATTTCCATGGGGAAGTTTGCTAAGCTTTCGTTGCAGGAGTTGATGTGGAAGATGAGAGTGAATGACTGCGTGTGGCTTCGTCTAGCCAAAGGTACTTAAATGCAAGAATTAAGTGCTGGGACTGTCAGTGGCTGGTGTTTTATGTTTAAGGTGGGAATGGGAGGATATTGAATCTGGAATCAGAATTGCTGGGTTAGTTGGTAATATCTGTAACTGATGGAGCAAACCCAGTAGCGTTTGTAACTGATGGTGGAAGAACACTTAAGCCTGTCTTCCATCCAAAACTTGTTTCTGTTCACACTTTTGAGTTAAATATAATGCCATTTTCATAAACGTGGATTCAGAACCCCAAACGAAAACCAAACCTCTTTCCCATCCACTTCTACCATCCAAATTGCAGTAACTGTGAAAATCCATTACAGTATGATCTAAGCACATAAGGAGTAAGAGCAGGCTACCTATTGATTACTGTAAGGCTTTGGAAAAGAACTAAAAACTGTTGGAGACACTTGTATTGGCATGTGTTCCTTTGCTATGGGAGTGAAAATACACGGGGTATTTTACTCCCTCACATCAGCCTTGTGAGAAAGATGTGAGTATGGAACCCATTCAGTATAGGGATTGCACACCATAGAGTCATAGAATAGTTTGGACTGGAAAGGACCTTAAAGATCTTCTAGTTCGAACCTACCTGCCATGTACAGGGACACCTTCCACTAGACCAGGTTGCTTGGAGAGCCATCCAACCTGGCCTTAAACACTTCAGGAATGGAGAGTTCACAGCTTCTCTGAACAGCCTGTTCCAGTGTCTTACTGTCCTCACAGCAAAGAATTTCTTCCCAATACTAAATCTCAACCTGCCCTCTTTCAGTTTAAAACCATTCCCCCGTGTCCTATCAGTACATGCCTTTGTAAAAAGGGCTGTCATCATCTATCACCTTGCTAGAACCCTTCTCTGGGATAAGGAGACCTTACTATGAGATGCTTCAGGCTGGGTTGTTGGTGGTGTGGAAGTCACCAGACTGACTGGTCCCTGGCTAAAGGTTGTCCTGAGACCGTCAGCCAATTGCTCCAAATTCTATACAAATCCATTTCTGTTTAGTCCTCTTTTTCAGATGACAGGTAGATCTTGCTTCCCTGGAGTTTGTTCTTCAGACACTGTGCTGGGATTTAAATCTAGGCTGAAGATGTGGTTCTGTGGTTGATTGCTGTAGGATGTAATGCATGTTGTAATTTTTCTGTGCTTCTGTTCTCCAACTGCACAGTGTGGATTGTACTTCCTTAACTGGTATGTTCGCAGTATTTATTCTTACCTGGTATTGTAGTTGGATCCTGCGATAGTGTTAGCTGAAAATGGTGTGCCTTTGTTAAAAGGTGTGATAAGGTTCTGAAATTACTACAGGATTTTTGTACTGTAGGAGGAAGATAAAAAAGTCTGATGTTTGAGAACTGATGTCAAAAATAGGGGAGGTTACACTTTCATAAGAAACTGTTAATTCTAGGAAATATATTGTTCCTTTATTCAGAAACTACAGCTCAAAAACACACTCCTCAAAATGCTGAGGTGTAAAATATTTTAAAATGTTTTGTTGTAAGATACACATTTGGTTCATAGTCATTTGGAAGATCTTATCTTAAAAAATTTAATGCCCTCTTATTCTCTGGCCTTACTCCAGGAAAGGCAACACACAGGCTTGATTTTGATTTTCATGAAAGTCCTCCCTTGTGCTTGAAGTTTAAACACACATTCAATTGATTTGCTGCACTGTAGGCGGGGGGTTTTTTATTCCTCCAGAAGTAGTAATAGTGGTTTCTTGTCAGTTCCCTGAATTGTAGTCATCATTTACATCTGTTATCAAGAACTTAGAATATTCTGATTCCAGAACAGCTACCTATCAGCATCCTGAGTTAATTTGCATATTACTGCTACATTTTGCAGCTCTTCAGTTAGAGAGTTTTGTAATAAGTCATTGGATTTTTTCATTGATGCTACCTGACTTCTGTGGAAGTGAGCACTCTTTGTGGTAGTCTTTTCTTAGGTGCTGTAAATACATGAAAATGTCTCTACCCTGAAGCACGCAAAAACTGAACAGGGTAAAGAACTGGAAACTGACTTCCATTTTATAAGTTAAGCTTCAGCTCTGCTGTGTCAAAATTAAGCTGTTTTTAACACATTTGTGCCATAGTTGTGATTTGTGCTGTGCAGCTAAACTAGTATTTCTGTCTTAAACATCCTGTGGTGTTTTGCTAAATTCTACTCATTCAATTTAATTAGATAAATTATTACTGGAAGTTGGCCAGAAGATCATTGTTGTAGCACAGGGTTTTATTCCCTGCTAATCCATATTTAGACATCACTACAAATATGTGTGACCTTAAAATTGACAGGAATGTTCTGCATTCATAATTGTTGTCCCATCTAAATATTGGAAGTGCTGATGGACTTAGAGTGATTTGAATTTTTCCTTTTTTTTGGATGCAGCAAGAAGTTTTATGTAGGATGTCTGAAATAAAACCTAACCCTGAAATTAATTTTCATGTAGTTCGGAAATCTGAGTATCATTCTGATCCCCAGGTCATCCCAATTTAATTTTCGTATCTTTTGCAGTATACCAAAGTATTTTCAGTCTTTTGCTTTTTTGGTGTCTTTTTTTTTAAAAAAAGTTTTATATCGTAGTAGACTTGTTTCTTTTTATTTTGCCTTTCCTTTAACAATAATCTTGCCATTGTGCATTGAAGGTGTTGCACAGTCAGCTCTGCAGGAAGACTGTAAGTCTTTGGACTACTAATGACACTTGTATCCTGTATGTCAGTTTGTCACTGCAGATTAGTTTGTGTTTGCACTTTGAGCTTGGGTCAGTCACACTTTACTGCTACTGAAAATCTGGAGTGGCATCAGTGTAATTGTTTGTACTTGCTTTTCTCTTTCAATTGACCGCATGCTAAGAAAAGAATGTTATGAGTTTTTTGTTTGAATGTTCTCTTTCTTTACTCATACAAATAGTTGATAGTTACTATAACTACCTTTCAATTGTTTATTGAAGGTGATCACTTTGTTCCTGCCGATGAACATTGTTTCCGTGAAGAACTTTTGGCCAAATTCCTATACTGGCTGATGAATACATATGTTGTTGAGTTGCTCAGATCATTTTTCTATATCACTGAGACCATGTTCCAGAAAAACATGCTTTTCTACTACCGGAAGTTTATCTGGAGCAAGTTACAGAACATTGGAATTAGGTAACACTAGAAAGCTAATCATATGTTAATGGAATATGTGGAAATCTTGTGTTTTGTAGTGTTAAGTTACATTTCTGCTTTAATTTATTGCCCATTTATCCTCCTTTTATTTGCTTCATTTCCCAAAAGAAAATTCAACCTATGATTGTAGCATGCACAGCTTGTAATTTCAGAAGTATTTTGTCAGAGAAAACTGATTCAAATGTAGAATTCTGTGGTGGGAGAAGAGAAACCTTTGCAGTAAGAAAATCCATTATGAAGAGGATTTTGTTTTGATAAGTCAAATTTTTACATCTTTCAACAATGTATAAAGCACAGTGATAGAATCCCAAAGTAACCTTGTCAAAGTTAATTTTAAAAATAGTCAATTTGCTTTGACTGCTTTAATTTAAAAACAACAAAACCAAACCTCAGCTGAAATGTTCTAATACTGTATCATAAAATTCAGATGGTAGTCTTTTAGTTTTGGGGGATTTTTTTGAAGGCTGAGGGATTTAAGAAGCTGCAGCTTTTTTTAGTGCAGCTGTGGAATTCTGTGCTGGTTTTTTGGTCTTTAAAATGCACACACACATTTAAGTTAGGGCATTATTTAAGACAAAGTTTTAAGTAGTTATGTGAGACAATAGGAAATCCTGAAGGCAATTTTATGGAACAGCATTGTGTTCCCATCTCCATAGTTCACATCTTTCAGGTTTTCATTATAAATCATCAGTGTCTGAGAGAGCTTTGGAACTGTGAAAAATGAGCATAGTTTTGATGTCTTGTGTCTTAAAGCTTGGTTTGGATGGTCAGCCTTTTGCAGTGGTCTGTTGGTCTGCAGTATTATATGTGTGATTTTTCCCCTCTTAACTTGTTGCTCCCTGATGTCAGCATTGATATCTCCAGTGTAGCTCTTCTGCATATGTGCTTGCACTTAGTGCAGCCTTGATCTTGTCTGCACCTGTAGCACAGGATATGCACTTTAAATAGTAGTAGTAGAACGTAATTTTCAGTACCACGCATTTTATTTGTCTTTTCTTCAGACAAACAGCCTTAGCGTTGCGGTTAGTGTTTTGTGCAGTTTTATTGTGCTTAAAGGCTACTCTTTGCCATGAAGTATCATCAAGTGCTAACTTTTACATGGTAGATTTAATGCAGCTTTTAGTGGGCATGTGTTTAAAAGAAAATAAATTAGTGTTCAGCTCTCTTGTCCCTCTTCCCAGTTTTCCAGAAAAACCCATTGTGTAAGGACAAGGTGTTTTGAACTCATTAGGGCTCATCTTGCTGCTTCTGATTTCCTCTCCCAATATTTCCTCAGCATAAAAGAAGCCCCTTCTCACCTTTGGCTCTGAAGGTCCTTGAACTGCAAATTATTGGAAACTGGGGAAACATCCCAAGGAAGTACTGCTGTGTGCTTGCCAAAGGCGTGTTTGAAGGGCAGGGTGTTTGCTGTTGGCTACGGGGTACATAGTTACAACGACTTCTACTCTGATCCCAGCAGCTGCACTTAAGCCTCACTGACAAGGTTAGGGCTTTCAGCACTGCTTTTTCAAGTCTGTAGTGTAGTGGGAGGTGTGCTCCTAGTCCAGCTTACTGCATTCCTACAAGTGGCCAGCTGCCTGCTTCACATGGGAGGAGAGAAATTGGAGTTTAGAGATACTGAGAAACAGGTGTTTAGGGCTGCCTTGGGCATTTTGAGGCTGTCCAGGCATTGCCTTCTCTTAACCAGCCAGTGTTTTCAGGCATGTTCATGAAGCAGCGCCAAAGGCTGTTGAGCTACTTCCATCTTCCCTGGAGGAAGAGTATCTGGTGGCCTCAGTGTTGCCCTAATGGCTGTTCTCCAGTTATTCTGGTTCTCCTCAGCTGGAGCTGCTCATGTAAATTGCTCTGAGGCATTTGTAGCCTCTGATGCCTTTCCAGTTCTTCTGCATCCTCCTTTGAAAGAAGAGAATAGATGGGACAGTCTGGACTGAGTGGACCTGGACCTTACTTGTGAGCTTGCCTTTGCATTGGAATGTCTTTAGGGAGTAAATCCTTGTCCTGAAGGACTCTCTGTATGATCAGATCATCATGTGCAGAATCCGACTCAAGGATACAGACTGCAGTCCTGAGAGGGGACCTGGATCTGTATGCTTGCCTTGCTGTATTGCAAGACATCAGAGTGTGCTGGTCATTGCACACAGACAACTTTGTATTAATTCTTGACGCTATTCCAAACTTCATACCACAAATTCAAACCAGTATTTCCTAAGGAAAAGATCAGTATTTCGTGATAGAGTTGCCTCGGGTTACATGACCTGCAGAATGTAAATTTATGTTTTAAAAATAACGAAGCCAATGCTGTGGTGACAGCATGTGTTTGCCTAAGGCTCATGCCCTCCCTGCCTTTGCCACACACCGTGACTGCTGAGGATGAAGTATGCTGCAGAATTCTGAATCTCCCCCATCAGATTGTGGGGAGATGGCAAAAGATGACAGAACTATTCACTCAACTTCCTCCAGGTTCCAGTGCTTAACAGCATTGGTGTGTGCCAGCGAGAGTCGCTCGGTTCAGTGACTGCTAGATTAGTGCATATTCAAAATCATTAGTGTTTCCATAAATGCCATGAAATAAGTAATGAATGTTGCTGCAGGCAAAATGACATCCAGTTCTACAGCTGGCCAGACGCAGTAATTGGCCTTTGTCTTTGCTTTCAAGGGAAGTAGTTTTTTTAACGTACAGTGATTGAGATTAGGGTTTTTTCCTCCAGTCTTGAATGTGAGCTGTAAAGGGATGGAGATTTCATCATTCAGTTGTTTCTGTGGAACTGGAGTTACTTGTTTCGTCTTGGTGTTCTACCTAATACTGTAGTAGATGATGGAGTTTTATATGTTCAGGAAAGAATGTAGTTCTATAAAAAATAGTGATCTCTAGCTGTGGAAAAGTGATCTCCAGTCCTTTCTACTTTACTTTGGGCAGCATTTGTACCAGGAATGTAATTCCAAAGTTTGAATATAAAACCTCAAAACTCTTGCTCAGTAGTAGTGCAACTTACTGGCCATGGATACCACTGTACCTTCGAGGTGTCATGCCCTGTATCCATCAGACCCCAACAGTCCCAAGCAGCTGGATCATTAGCTTGCCTGTGAGTTGTGTTGGCATACAGAGGCACACAGGCATACACAAAGTATTTGTGTGCTTCTCTTATCTCCATCCTTGGCATCTTGAGTGTCTTGGAATGAATGGCACATTTTGTTCTTCTGAACAATACAAGCAGTGCAGGAGATTGATCCAGGGTTTTTATGTTGCAGGTAGGGTGGTATTGCACTGCATCTTAAGCAAAAGCAGGGGCTTTTTCTCCACCTCCTTTTTCTGACTCATTGCATGGGAAAGTATTGATTTAGACTAAGCTATACTGAACTGTATATCCTGAGGGGATGTTTAAGGGGGAAATACATTTCCTAGTAAGATGAATTTACAAAGCTCAGAACATGTGACTTGGGAGCCTTTGGTTCTTCATTATTTTCTGCTGTTCACTTCAGCTGACACCTGCTCATTGGTCAGTCTTGGATACCTAAAGGCCCTTATGTTTTATATGTATCTTAGTATCTCAGTTAGCTGTAACTTTTAGTAGGTAGTAGGTCCGTAAATGTTGGGAGTGGAACAGCCCATTACAACATGTAAGTCCTTGCTTGGGTGTTTCTTAACATAGTTTTCAGATGGTTCTATTCAACTTTGTTAATGTCTTTCAAACTTCTGAAAACCATGAGAAATATCCAACTTCCTATTTCTTGCATAAAAATTATTTCATAATATTCAAATGTATTCAGCTAATCTGTGCTTAAATTTTAATTTGTGTTAATCAAAAGGGATTTTTTATATTTGCATCAAGCAGAAATGTGTACTCTTCTTCTTATTGTATTACATTGTCATTAAGATACTGTGAAGTTATTCTGAAATTCAGAATTTCATGTCACTTTCTGCAGAGGTTAGTATTTGTATTATCTTAAAAAGCTCTTTGGCTTCAGCTATCATAAAGACATTAAATGGTTTAATTTGCTGCTTTTCCTTATGCTAAGTGTGTATTTGTATTTTAGAAACCATTTTGCCAAAGTACATCTACGAGCTTTATCTTCAGAGGAGATTGAAGCTTTCCGTCAAAAAAAACTTGTTCCCGTGGTATCCAAGCTCCGGTTTATTCCTAAAGTAAATGGATTAAGGCCCATAGTAAAAGCGAGCGGTATTGTCAAAGCGGAAGCATTCAGCAGGGAGAGCAGAGAAAAGAAGGTTTTTATTTTCTTTATTGTTTTATGTGCATTCCATGTAGGCAACTAATAAACCGAGTAAGGATTTTTGTTATATGAAACTAGTTTTAGCACAGTGAACAGGAACATTCAAATCAGAAGGACTGAATGAGTCTGTTTCAACTTAGCTTCTCCATTCCCAATGCTTCATTACCGTTAGCCTCCAGTTCCAGAATCATGTACTTCTGTTTGCAAGCCTGTCTGAAGGACATGAGCCTAACTGAATGGCATGGCTTCTCAGGTGATCCCAGTTTCTTTCTTGTCTCTTTCCATCATCCCTTTGCCTCAGGCTTGCTGACTGCATCTGGTTGTGGTAGGCATTGGCCATCTATGGGAGTAGCAGAACGAAAATTTCAAAGATACTCAGTATTCTGAACTTTCATGTCCTGTTTGTTTGGCACACCAGAGGGTGAGGGATGGCTGAGTCCAGCCTGTCAGGATTTGCCTGAATATTGATTGTGCCTGTTGGTCAGCTGGTTGGCTGTGGCACCAATCAAGCTGGGGAGCCAAACAGTGGTGAGCTGGGTACGTTACTGAGGAAGGTGTAAGAAGGGTGAGAGAGCTGGATCAAACATACTAGGGAGAATGAAGCTGGGAACTACTGCAGTGTGGGAACAGAGGCAGAACATGCAGTACGTAGAATAATCTATTTAACAGGCCAGTTGACCACAAGGTGTGGTGGGAGCCCAGTTTCACTATCTTGCATGACTGCATTAATTGTTTTTCCTCACGGCTGGATCTCGTTTAGTGCATAAGATTGAATGGGCCCAAATGGGTGAGAGGTCAATGGCTTTTTAACACTTATTGTTCAGTTTATGATCCCAAACTAGATGAACAGAGCACCAGCCAAAAGCTGTTCTGAAGTGTGAAGTGTTATTTCACATCATATTTCATATTATGGTGTCTATAGAGCTAGTCAACCTGCATGAGTTCACTGCTACTCTGGTGTACTTCACTGTCCTCGTAGCTCAGAGTTAAGTTACCTTCAAATCAGTGGTGGCTTTATTTGCTGGCAGTCATCTATTTGTCTCTGTAACTATTACATCTTGATTTCCAGCAGTCAAATACAGAAATAGAAATATGTCCAAAGCGTTTTGTCACTTCCAAGTAGTTACTGCAGCAATTTGCAGGCTTTCTGAAAACTTGAGTTGACCACAGTAATGCACTAAATACATAAATTGAAACTTCATCTAAATGTGAAATCTGTATTGCACGAATTTATTATGTCAGCATAATTTAAGGTGATTCTCTTTGGTCTCTTTAGATGCAATATTACAACACTCAACTAAAAAATCTATTTAGTGTGTTAAATTATGAACGAACAATAAACACCAGCTTTATTGGCTCTTCAGTGTTTGGGAGAGATGATATCTACAAGACATGGAAGCAGTTTGTTAAAAAGGTTCTTGAATATGATGGTGGAATTCCTCATTTCTACTGTGTAAAGGTATGTATTTTTAATTACATATTCAAACTACCTTTTTAAAATCAGCTCATGCAGATACTTTTATAGCTGTGATCTGGCTGCATAATTATTTCTTTTTCAAAATAAACTTTTGTGCATACCTAACACAGACTCTGGTTGTTTTTTTGGTGTGGGGGTTGGTTGCTTTTTGTGGATGGGTGTCCCTGCAGTAGCGCTTCCTTTACTTGGATGTCTTTCTGTTATGTAGCAGCTTTTGCTTCTGCCCATGCACTGGATTTTTGCAGTTACATTTACTTAGGTGTAAAAATGAGACAAAGATAGAAACTCAGATATGCTTTTAGAGCCGTCTTGTGAAATGAAAACTAGAAAATCTTGTTCTGTGCATCTGGGTAAATTCAGCCTCTTTCAAGAACTTGGTCTCTTCCTTCCCAGTATCATTAGTTTTGTTGAAAATGAAATCTTGACTTCTAGTGTCTCTTCAAGTTTCTTCTCCCACTTGATGACAGAAAAAAATGAGTGCTTATCATATCTCACTATTTGAAGGAGTTTCTTCTTCACACTTGTTTTCAAGCTGTGTGTAGCAGGCTGCCTTTAGTGTTTGAGCTCAATCCTTAAGTTTGAATTGGGGTGATGTATACAGAGGTATGTGAATTCTGCAATTTATGTATGTTATAAAGGGCTCCCCTCTTGTTTCTCATATGTGAGTCATCATCCTGTCATGAAATTGATTGCAGTGATTGTCTTGTTATCTTTCAAGCCAAAGATTCATGTCATTGACACAATTCTCCTAAGATTGTTTCTTCTTCAGAAGGTTTTCAGTTTTGACTATGACCAGTAAAAGCAGAGGTGAGATTGTGATACAAGGTTTAGGAAAGGTGTAAAACATGTAGGTTTACAGCTTTCTAAAAGCCTGAGATTTTGTCTCCATGATCATATGGAGAGAATGTTTCCTAAAATATTTCCATATGTAAAAATATCAGTGGTAAACTGAAGTGAAGTGGCTAGTTTAAGGTTGCATATGGCATTATCTTTGTTACTAACAAGAATTGTGGCAAAACTGGTGGCTCGGATATCCCTTGTAAGTGGGGAAAAATTTTTAAGATAAAGAGGTTTTGTTTTGTCACAAATTTCGGCTGAATGATGCAATAATTTCACTCCTGTGGGATTTATCCTTCAGCCTTGCTTACATACTACTTACATACTACACGGTACCACTTTCTATACTACCACAATGTTTGCAGCAGTACTGATGAATACATAATGGAAGATATTTCCTCTCTTTCAGACTGATGTGTCTAGGGCTTATGATACCATTCCTCACAAAAAACTTGTGGAAGTGATTTCACGGATCTTAAACCCTGAGAAACCAACTATCTACTGCATCCGGCGCTATGCTGTGATTATGATTACCACAAGTGGAAAAGCCAGGAAGTTATATAGGAGACATGTATGACTTGCTGATTTCTCTTTGCTGCTGTTTGTTATTAGCTTTTTTAAGTCACAATTTGAATTAGTTAATTGTTTCAGAAACCTTTTCATTCAATAGTGTTGAATATTTTCCAGAGGTAGAAAAGCATCTTTTTCCTTTGTACTTTTTAAAGTTTTTACTCACCCTTAGTAAGAACAAAGATAAATGTGTTGTGGGAATAGAGATTTGTGAGGGAGACATTCTATTTTAACAGTAGCAGAACTGTTGGATTAAAATAATGCAGTAAGGCTGGCCCTTTGGCCTTCACTGAATATAAAAAAAGGCTGTTACTGAATTTTCTTTTGCTTTTGTCATTTATTTCTTTACAATTTACACAAATATACAGGTTTCTACTTTCAAGGACTTTATGCCAGACATGAAGCAGTTTGTGTCCCACCTTCAGGAGAGAGACTCACTGCGAAATGCAATAGTAGTTGAACAGGTAAGTATTGTGAGGCTTCTTTTCAACAGAAAAAGAAAGCTACAGAAGAATTAGATGAAGATTGGTATTTTTAGTTGAATGTACATACTACTTGGTGACACCACCTTTCTTCTAGTTGCCCAGCACCTTCTGTAGAAAGATTTTTGTCATCTCTTTGATGTTTATTACAGACTCTCAGTGTTCAGTGGGAGGAGTGCATCAGGCAAGAAATCTGACAAAATGTGCTTCTAGACTTTTCCAGATTTTCTCATTGTTGTCTCAAATTTTCATTTTAACCAGTTTTCTTTTTCCTTTCCTAATTCCATTGCAACTGTTTTCCAGTGAGAAAGCAACTATCTAGTAAAGAAGGGCTTCAACATTTGCTATCTCCAAAACATACAGAAGTAAGAGTGAGCAAGATGTATTATAAACCAAGTATCTAAGGAAATAGATGTGACGTCTTGAATAACAAACTGGACAGAATAGAAAGATCACTTTTGTTTTTCCAAAGAGCTTATTTTATGCTTTATAAAAAAACTTATTTTAAGGAATACCTGCCAAGATTGATAAGAATGAACCATTCTTTAGAGAAGTTAAATGCAACATGAAACAAGATCAACAGTTAGAGTAGTTGATTAAAGAGATGTCTCAATTTCAGTGAATTAAAGTATGGTTGAAAATTACATGCATTTTAAATTTACTCCAACTGATGGTTTGTTGCAAGAGGCAAGCATCCTTCTGTTTTAATTCTTGTGATGCAAGTGTTCGTTCTCAAGACTACTATGCAAGGATCATGACAGAGAAAGGCATAGATGTAGGTGATATGCTCAGTCAATTTCTGAATGCATTTTATTGATTGGAATCATGGTGTGTCATGATAACAACCTACAAGATTAGCTGATCATCAGATGATCAGATGTGTATTTTCTTGCAGGCTAATAATTCCCCTTTAAAATTTTCTTTCCTAAAACTTCTAGTGGAAAATGTTGACGTAAGGTAATTTCTAACATACAGGGAAAATGATCTTGTATATCTATGAGCACAGGAGTAGAATATACAGTGTGGGTGGTGTACAATTCTAGGATCCTACAAAGAGCAGAAAGCTTAATGAGTACATGGATGAAAATGAAAACTAGCTGGATCTCTGATGACGTATAAGTACATTTTGTTTTCTTGGTTTTTTCCAGTGGTCATCTGATTCAGATAACTATGGCAGATATTACATGCACAGCAGCATTCTATTTAAAAACATTTTACATGTGAAAACAATTTGTGTGTCATTATTTTAAGAGAACAAGGTATTTTGAGAAAAGTATCGTGTCAGGTCAGGTGACTGTACCACATGTGCATCACATTACCTTTTAAATGCAAATAGTCATGATCTCACATGGCTCCATCAAAAGTTGGGTGCACTTGTCTGCCATCTAATCGATGTCAGCAGAAAGTGATTTTGCTTCAGTTTGCATAAAGTCATTGTTAAAGGGATTTAAACTGTTCTAAATGGATTTTTGATTACACAGTTTTTAACACAAAAAAAATTCATAAATTTTGGGTGGATAGTCATGCATGGAATCGTTGATAATATCTGGCCAAGAATGTGTTTTGCAGCAGAACAGGCAAGTGAGTGTATCTACACTTGGGGAATCATAAAAAGCACGACAGTTAGAAAAATTGTCCTTACAGGATAGAAAGTGGCCAAAAAAGTGAGGTTTCATACATTGTAGTAATCCCATATAATATGCCAGCACTTTAAAAAGTGGGTTTAGTGTTACATTTGTTATACATTGGCATCTCAACATCCAACAAAAAAGGGACTTGTTGGATGTGAGCAGCTTTTTAGTATGTTTATTCAGATCTGGATTTAAGTTTTGTTTCTTTTCTTGGGTTTGAATTGCTACATTCTACCTTTTTTAAGATTTCTGTGTATCTTCAAAGTTTATACGGTATTTTTAGTTTCAAATTTTGTTTTGTTTTATCCTATTTCTAGAGCTTAACTTTTAATGAGACAAGTTCCAGCATGTTTAATTTTTTTCTTCAAATGATGCAAAACAACATCCTGAAGATTGGGAACAGGTAAAAAGAAAGTTAGTTTTTCTTTGTATAGCATGCTTGGGTTTTTTGTTTGTTTGTTTTCTGTTAAGAAGGATACTTTTAATTGACTCAGGACTGGCAGATAGGTGTCTTTTAAAGAGTTTTATTTCATGTTAATTTGAAATCTGTTTATCAGTTTTACCTCCGTAAAAGCCTGAAGAGTTTGGAATCAAATTATATTGGATAAAATTTTTCATTCCTACCTGGATGATGTTAACGATGCACAGCATGCATTATTCTGTAGACATGTAACCTTCTTCATTTAGAACTGCAAGTATAATTCAAAAGGAAAATACTTTAAAGTGTTGGTGGTGAACAAAATCAAGGTAACATCCAAGGAATCATGCAAAAGCCTTGTTAGTCATTTCCCTGTAGTGCAAATTTAAACCTTTTCTGCACAGTTTTGCTCTTTGCCAAGTTACAATAAAAAGAAAAGGCAGCAGCAATAGGAATTAAAAGTACTGGCAATGCCAAAACTAGGAATCAGCTGTTATAGAGGGTAGTAACACAGATTTCTTCTTGTGTTGGTAGAGCTACTGATCTGGTATTTACATTTTGCCTCTAGGTGGCAAATGTGTACCATGTCTAGAAAGCAAATACTTAGATGATCTTTGTTAGCAAATTCAGGGTGAGGTATGTTAGAATGAATAGCTTCTTGCTCTTGAAAAAATACCCTTATTTTAGAATACTTAATCTCACAGGATTGAGGGAAAGGGAGAAAAGCTTTTGAGGAGGCAAATAGAAGAGTGTTTGTAGGGTTTTCTTCTAGCATTGATGCTTACACTCTGGCAGGATAAAAAGAATGCTAGTATGGAATGACTTTAGTAATGGCTAACCTACATCAGGATATGTCATGGAAATTTAGTGGGTTTAAATCCACTTGTCCACAAGTCAGCTTGACTGAAAAAAATTATCCTGGAATGAATTTACTCCAACTTTTAAGTACCTTATTCTCATTTGTTCAAAAAACACGAAAAACTGCAAGTAAGTTTAGTAAATGAATTGACTCTAACTGATGGTTCTCAAAAAACCATCACAGTTAGTCAACATTCACTTGATGTTTTGAGAAAAATGCTGATTGTTCAGCTGGGGACCTATAAGGAATCTTTTAATATCATTTGATACATTTATCAAAAGTCTGTAAAAATTTAATATTACTGCTAGGAAAGTTTGCAGCAGACTGAAAACATAGGTGAGATCAGTGCTCAAAAGTAGTATGTGGTTCTGATATCTAGTTGCATAATTTCATTGTCTTCAGCAATCCACCAAACCACTCATGTAGTAATGGTGAAATGGACATAATATCTCCCTGCTTCAGAGAAGTGTTGTAAAATAATTCCCTTGGGTTTTGTGAGGCTTACCCATCCTGTTGCTGACAGCATAAAAAAATCCACAAGTTATTGGAGAACTTTGCTTCAGTAGCTTATCTAGATGTGATACACTACTATTACTGTGTGTGGTCTTCTGGGCTTTATGCAAGCCAGAAGGTAGGAGAAGTAGTAATGAACCTCCCCTGGCTGTGTCTGTGTGGGCTCTTTGGAGTCATGAGAAACAAATCAAGATTTACTTTTTTCGCAAAATGATAACTAACAACTTCAGTGAACTTTTCAAGCAGGGCAAGGGGCAGGTTGAATATCATTAAAAATAATAAAGGTTAGCATTTCACAGGATGTAGTAGTTTTTCCTAAGTAGAAGTAATACAACTTCATGCCTGAGGAGTTAAATGAGGGAATAAATGTGACTTACAGTATAGCTGGGATGTATAAAATCAGACCATGTGCTCTATTGGGCTAAGCCATCAGAAATTTCTCTAAAATTAAAGTGATAATTATTTGGGGCAGGAGGGAAAGCACCAAAAGAAACAAACCAAAACCTCATGAAAATATTCTCCTTGGCCAGGTCATGATGTGCAAGTATAAACAAAGAATAAACACATCAACAATAATTAAATAATTTTGAAAGATTTACCCAGTGTGCCTTGTTTCTTCTACAAAAACACTTTTTCAAATCTGTGAGATGTAACATAAAGAATGAAAAAACTTTAATGAAGGTTGCACTGTGTTTTGAGATCAGTTATAAAATTTCTTTCATTTAATGACAATTGTCTCCTGCAGCTTGTTAATGCCAAAGGAACATGTGTATTTGTGAGTTTTTTCACTGTTTAAATTAAAACTTCTGGATCCATATGTGGATGCTTAGAGGAAAGAACAAACAAATTTAAGTAAAGCTAGCTGGCAAGCATGTAGTCTGTTTCTTATTGAAAAATGTTTTACTTGAAAAAAAAGGAAATATTTAATGGCTACTGTGATCTTGTTGCATGTTTTGAGTTTTTGTTTCCTTTAATTCTTTACTAGGTACTACTTACAGTGCTGTGGAATTCCACAGGGCTCCATTCTGTCAACCTTACTTTGCAGCTTATGCTATGGAGATATGGAAAACAAGTTGCTCTGTGGAGTACAGCAGGATGGGTAAGGATGCTTTGTTCTCTGCTTTGTTAGAGTAATGCATGATCTATAGTATGTGTGTCAGTCATTTTCTCTGAAGTTTACTTTTGAATTTCAAGGATTTCCAACTCTTCAATAGGAGTGTGGTGCACACAAACATCTCTGCAGCATCACTGAAACTGTGGTTGTTTTGTGGGGGAATTTACCTGTTTATCATAAGATGGGAAGAAATGTATGGAAAAGAAGCTTTCCTGTATCTTTATTAGGAGACTTATTCTTACAAAGAGCACCATATTTAGGGATGGTGTGAAGAGTCTGACAAGTTGCTCTTGTGCGTCTAAGAAGTTTATGGTTCTGCCTCTCCCATGTCATCTGGTCTTTTGACCTCAAACAAGATGGGGTGTTCGTTACAGGTTTCTGATACTCCCGGCTTCTGCCTGAGAGCTTTCCAATCCACCATCTGTAAATCCTAACATTTTATCAAGGTCACAGTTTTATGCAGATTTTTTTATGAGGCATGTTGGTTCTTGTTTTTGAAGCCCTATGTGACTCTTGGTAAATCTTCTCAGCCTTCGTGCCCTGCAGATCCTTGCTTCTTAGGAGCTTGACACAAAGCTAACCGGATAAAAGCTTTACCTCTTTATTAGCTGTAAAAATGTTGGGGTCCCTTTTGCCTCCATATGAACAGATAACCAACTAAATCCCAGCTTAGGGTATTTAAGCATGAGCTGGACCCTGAAACTTGTCAATGTTCAGTCATCTCCTTTACTGCTGTGAATTCTATCCTGAGAGCTAAAGAAGAAACTAAGAATTGTGTAGGAATACTGCAGATAAGTGCATCTCTCTGCTGTCTCTTCTTGGGAGGTTTGCTGTGTAATGGAAAGTCTCAGAATTTGAAACATTTTCCTACACAAGTAGTAGAGTTCTTCATATAGACTTTAGGATGCTGTGATTATATATACAGTCTGAACAACTGTCTGTTGCTTTCAAAGGCTGTTGTTTATGAAAATGAAATTATGATACTGATTAAGAAGACTGCACTCTTTAATGCAGCTGCTGGTTTTATATAGAACAGGTTACAGAAAGTTGCTTAGGTGTCTGTTGAATGTTTTTGATAATTTTGTTTGTCCTTGAAGTCAAAAGAATAACATGACTATTAACTTGGCTAGGCAACGGCACAGCTGATCTGATCATAATGATGGCAGTATTCTTGGTTTGGAGAGGAGACTGCGCAAGATCATCTTCAGAGCTTCCTCTCTGACCTACTAGGCAGGATTTATCAGAAAAATATGGGCATGCTTGGGGTCTGAATTCTGTGGAAAAAGACAATTCTGGCCTTTACAGTGGTAGATGGTGGTAGCCTGTTTTACATTTAAGACACAGCTTCACAAACAAGTTATTACATGGTAAATGAAGACACAGAGTCAGAGCCCATCAAGAATCTGGTATTTGCTTCTATACTTGGTGTTGCACCTCTTTTCTTTGTCTTGTACATTCAGATACTGCAAATTCTCCCTTGGAAAAGCATAAAACCCTGCATGCAAGGAAGCTACTGTGGAATAGCTTGTGTGCTGTACATTCCATCATATTTCATGTAGCCAGTCCCTTTGGTTTCTTTTTTTTTTAATTTATATTTAGGAAAAAAGCAAACTGATAATTTCATGACAAGTCTCAATTTGGAGGTCATATCACCCTGTAGTGCCTTGTGAATTAAAATGGGTGCATTGTTGTTCTGAAGAGTATAACAAAAATTTGAAAGGAGTACATATTGGAAAATCTAATGTCAGTTTCTTCTTCATTACAGAGTCCTAATACGTCTCATTGATGACTTTTTGCTGCTTACGCCACATTTGATGCAGGCAAGAACTTTTCTAAGGTATGCTATTAAAGACATGTCTTAAAAGTAATAAGCATTAACACCTTTTACATAATTCTTTTTCATCTTTATACATGCTTGTGCATATAGGTGTATTTGTTTTATGAGTTAACAAGGGCTGTTTGGAGTCCTTGCTGGTAGCCTGTGCTTGAGAAGGGTCCTGATAGCTGCATTCTTGATAGCCAGCTAACAGTCTGTTGCAGCTCAGATGGTGGCTGCTGAAGTTTAAACCTTGATGGAGCTTCCACCAAAACTAAGTATTGCAGACTAACCAAAGCAGCTGATAGTTGTCTTTTAAGACCATATTCCCTCAAATTTTTAAGGTGTTTTATTTGCATTTTTAAAATGTTTTTATTGGGGAGGTGTGCTGCTACTTTCTGTTCCCTGGGAAAGAATGCAACTTTTGTCTCATCCAATATTGCTAAGATTTTTCTGGTCATTAGCATTCTGTGATGACTGTCTAAAGATACCAGTAGCATGGCAGCATGCAGTTCACACAGAAATTTGAAATCAGTAATGCTTTAGAGTGCTTCAGAACTACCTTTTCTTTAAAAATTGAACCCCAAAAGAGGTTCCTGGTTTTGCAAGTAGGAGTGTACAGTCAGTCCAAGTAAAGTTCTGCTGATGCCAAAGCCAATTTTAAGGATCCAAATGGCAGGTCTTGCAGAAAAGCTTAACATCTGCAATGCAGTCAGTTGTATCATGCTTTCAATAGTCAGAAAGATGCGGCTCTGTTGTGAGCCTAAAGGGTGATGGAGAAAGCAATCAAGTACAGTTTGAAGCATAAATTGTATGAAGTAATTGATAATATACTTTGAAGAGTTTATTTGTCCTCATTCCTCATCAGAACAGAAGGAAGTTCCTAGGGATCTGTGGGTTTACAGTTCTGGAAATGATAAATAAAACTCGGAGGCTGGAGGTGCCTCAAGCTATTAATCTCGATAACATCTTTTCAGCACAATGTCACTTGCAGTAGCATTGCAGATACTGTCCTGCTTGCCCTTTAAAGTTATCTGCAACTTCATTCTGTATCAACTTCTGCACCAGCTGTGTTTATTTTCTGTAAAGAAGTAGTCTCTTCTAGGAGAGTTTTTCAGAACTGCTTACAGATCCTGTGAACTCTGTGCCCCAAATGGAGGAATAACAGTTTTTGCTAGGGTAGTATTAGAACTAGGGGGCTGGGTAAATTGATTTTGAGGAGACAGCACTACAATTATGACTACCCAAGAAGAAGAGCCTACCTCTTCTTACTCTTTAAAAGGATTAAGCCTGCACGTGAATACATTGCCAAGCAAGACAAACTGCTGCTTGTCCATGACACTGCTGATCCAGTACATAGTAGGTACTCAGCAGGCATTCTGACATTGAAAACATCCCTAGGGAAAACTTTCTCCCCAAAGTTCCCTCAGTTTCATCAGGTAACTGAGGTTCCTCTTACATGGATTCTCCTTGGTTTTGTTAACTTTCAAAACCAGTATCTCCTCATCTCTCTTTTTCCAGTGATTTTGATCTCAATGATTTCTGTGAGTGTGGTTTATGTATGCAGCTTGTCTCAAACATTTCACGGCTGAAGTGCTTAATTTGCAATAATCTGTAAAACTTTGACTCTGTTATCCTCAAGGTCATTTATTTTATATACTTATTTACTGCTAATATTTTCACTGTTGGCTGTGGTTCCCTTTATTCTTTGATTTCTGCTGTTTTATGCGAAGATCATATAACTTGCAGCACAGTGCTAGTTTTTGTTTGCTTTCCCGGGAGGGGGAATTAGGCTAACTGTTTATATCTGTTTTAGGACTCTAGCAACAGGTATTCCTGAGTATGGCTTTTCAATAAACCCCAATAAGACAGTCGTGAATTTTCATGTTGATGATATCCCAGGATGTTCCAAATTTAAACAGCTGCCGGATTGTCGTTTGATCCCGTGGTGTGGTTTGTTATTAGACATAAAGACACTTGAGGTTTACTGCGATTACTCCAGGTAAATAGTGTTGTATGCTGCAGTGTCAGCTTTACAGTGTATTGTACTTAGTGTGAGAAGCACAAGGGTGTCTTGTGGATGGTGTAGTGGGATTGACTGCAAAATAGATTTTACAATTGATTCTTATACTGTAATCTAAACACTTTCTTCTGTGCAGCCCGTTGTTTTCTTCATTCCTGGTGGAATGTGCTTATCATTAACACCATCTAATGTGGTGTGGGTTACTAGTGACCAGAAGTCATATACCATATGTTGGCTATATGGTTCTGAAAATGTTTATTCAATCACCTCAGTTCAGCTTCTGTCACCATTATGCGCTGTAATGCACCTGATGACATATAACTACATTTATTGTTTTGAAATTGTTCTTTTTTGTGCCTTCCTAAAAGAAGCAGGAAGTGTTATTTGAGGTACATTGGGATTGGGATTAATTTGGTGTAGAGGGACTAGTAATCCTTTCAACATCAGAGGTGTTCCCTCTGGTACATTTCAGATGGTAGTGTAGGGGAGAGATAACTTCTCCTTAGACTAGCAACCTTGACTATATACACAAAACAGTCTGAAGTGGCATAGATCTCAGGACAGGACAGTGTGCCCTACTGAAATGTTCTGTAGACCCTTTACATGGACTACAAGAGATGGCATTAGACATTTGCTAAAGATTGACGAGAAAGGACTGTTTAAACTCAAGGATAATACAGCTGCATTATTGATTATATTTAATATAAACAGCACATGCATGCATTTAAGTGGGGAATTAGGAGGAGGTTTTCTACCACCAGAATGGTAAAGTTGTTCAGTAGTCTTCCTAAACAGAAGAGCTTGGTCAGTTTAGGAAAGGAATTTATATGACATGATTTTTCCGTAACAAAGGACTAAAATCAACAGCCAAAGAGATTTAATCACTAGCTGTGTTTCTGAAAGAAACAGTTTACTTTGGTAAGGGCATTGGTGCTACTGGTCTGGAAGATACTAATTAGAATCATAAAATCATAGAATCATTCATGTTGGAAAAGACCTTTAAGATCATCAAGTCCAACCATTAGCCCAGCACTGCCAAGTCTACCACAGTGCTTGTTACTAGGACTGCATTGACTTAAGTAACTAGAACACTAGAGTTGTTCCAGTAACTCAGGTGGCTCCAAACCTAAGCTCCTGCATAGCATGGGTCATAGATTATCACCTGTTTGTCACTGTAGTCATTGATAATGCTCTGGCTAGACCATGTGTTCTAGAAATACATTTAGTTTGTGTCTAAGGTTATTGGTTTGGCTTTTTTCAGCAGGGTGAATTATTCAGTCCTGAGGTATTGCAGTCATCCCTTGACTTATACCCGTAATGCCAACATTAAATTTAGTTATGGTCTCTTTCAACATTAAATTTAGTTATGGTCATCTTTTAGCTACTGGCTCACTGATTACCTGGCAATCTCTGTAACATGGAAAGTCAAATAAGGCTTACTTTATGCAATTTAATTTAGTCTATTAGCCCATGGAGTTTGTTTAACTGTTTTTCTTTTTTTTTCCTAGTTATTTCTATACTTCTATCAGATCAAGTCTTTCCTTCAATTCAAGTACGACAGCTGGGAAGAACATGAAATACAAACTGATTGCAGTCCTCAAACTGAAATGTCACGGTTTATTTCTTGATCGACAGGTGGGCATATAAAAAGGGATGTTTGGCAATATTGTGATTAGTGATTAAGAGCACTAAAACTGCTCTGAGTTCTAACATAGTTTATTTTGATAGATAATCCACATAATTTGGAAATGCTGACATCAACTAAAATTGTAGTGTCTTCCAGAATTGAGCCTTCACAACTTTGTTAACTTAGCTGCATAAAGGAAGTATTTGAAGTTTGGCATAAAATGTTTCTTTTATCTAGTTCTTCAGCAGATCCTATTATGACACTAACATATTCTTATAACTCTGTATCTCTCTGTTCTAGATCAACAGCCTTAGAACAGTTCTCATTAACATCTACAAGATATTTTTACTTCAGGCTTACAGGTAGGTCAGTGTCTTCTGCAGTAACTGTCAATGTCATTATTCTCTTGACACATGGAAGAGATACATACTGGAAAAAAGTGTGCCATGTAAATGTGCAGCATATATATATGTGTATAACGTGTGCAGTAATATATGTCAGTAGTAAGTCAAATTATTCTTGTTTCGACACTGTTCTTAGGTAGTATTATTAGATTTAGGATGCAGGATTATATTGACGTGTGTTTAAGTAATACTTCAGTAAACGGAGTTTCAGTGTCTCTTGGTATTGACAGCTGACCTCAAAATCAGTCTGTTTTGCCTCAGGAGTATGACAAAAAGCCTTATTAACCAATTTATATTTAGACTAGTTACATATTAGCCAGTTTCTATTTAGAACTTCATATGTATTAAAATCATACAAAGCTTTGACCAGTATAACTTCAGGTAAAGTGAGGTTTCATTCTATGCCGTTAATTGCAGTTTCTTACCTTCTGATCATGTCTTAATTGCTCCTTAGCTGGTAATACCTTGGTGTCTGCAAGCTGGTCTTGATCAACAGAGGAGGTGAATGTTTTAAACAGAAATAAGGGAAAGAATTCAGAACTGATAAGCAAATTGGGAGAAAATACTAAATTCTGTGCACCGAAAACTTTGTTTGGCAGCAGCAATTGGGTTTTTATTGGTTTAACACAGAAAACTCTGTAAGTGGTTCTTCCCTGTTTACAGAAATGAGATGTTGCTCTTTTGCTAAGCTCATACTTGTTAGGAAGAGACGTTTTAGGTTTGTTCTTAAATTCAGCTTGGTCCACATTCAAGCTGTATCATTGTTTGCCCAAGAAGTGTAATTGGGTTTGTCTAATACAGAATAGATATGTCAAGCTCTTCAACTTTTGTGTTGCAAGTGACTTATGTTTTGTTCTCTGATGTCGGATATGATTACTTAGTCACTTCTGTTTGCTTTTATGGTAGCAGTCAAATACTGTTCTTTATATGTTATTTAAAAAACTGTCTACCATGATAACTGTGTGTCTGGTTAATTCAGCCAAAGGCATGTGATGCAGCATGGTACTCATGTTTATCCTTTAAATATATGAAAAATTCAGCATTTTTTTAAAGAGATTGTGATATGTTGGGTTAAATTGATAAGCAAATATATATATTGTTGAATGATAAAAAAATCAACATTGTAATTGGCTATATTCAGCATAAACAGGATAGTAATACCAGAGTCTGAAGGAAAACAAAAGGGGAAAAAAATGTCAGCAGTTTTAAAATATTTCCAAACAGTTGTAAAGGATCAATACAATACCAATAATTTCTATAGAATTGGCTTCAAAATAGACTAAGGAGTAGGTATCCTGGTCTGTGGAATGCTACATCATTTGGAAGTCTGTCTTCCTGATTACCTGAACAGAATTTGTTGTGGGGTCTTGCTTTGTTTTTCCTTCCTCTTGCGCTTTCTCATGGGGGTGTTCTCTGGTAGCATGGTCTGTGACATGGAATTGATGACCACATGTAGTTTAACTTTCCTGCACATAAGCAGTTGTTGTCCTCAGAAGAGAATTCTATTAGCAAGGCAGATGGCTTCAAGATCTTTCAGCATAAAATTTAGAAACCAGCATCCTATGTGTCTGACACTCCAGGGATATGTATATATAGCAGAGGTGTCATATGGTACTGGTGTTGATATAGCTAAAGACTGTTGCATGTTCTTAAATGCTGTACAGTGCCCAAGGTATGTCATCATAATTTCCCTTGAAATTGCATATGACTTTTGATTAAATAGGCTGTTTCTGTGAACAGGTTCCACGCCTGTGTTCTCCAACTTCCATTCAACCAGCAAGTTAGAAAAAATCCTTATTTCTTCCTAAAGATCATCTCTGAGACTGCATCATGCTGCTATGCTATCCTGAAACTAAAAAATGCAGGTATGAAAAATGCAGGATGTTAATGGCAATGAAATGGTGGGTTTGGGGTTGGGGTTTTTTTGATAAATAAAACATCTTGAATGTGCAGTCCAGTAATGTAATTTTGAGATCAAGATGAGGAATAAAAAATCTGGAGTGCATGATAAAAATCACAGCGCATTTTTCTTCTTAAATTCTGTTTTCTGAAGATTGAGTTTCAGGTTTTAGTTTTCTGTTGTCATGGGAGACTCCATTGACTCTGTAGGTTTTTAGTAAAATATCTTGGAGTGATTTTATAGAAAGAGGAGAGATCAGACATACTTCTTAATGCTCATCATTTTCAGTGACATTTTTTTCCTGTTCTGTCCCTAGGGATTGTTTTAGGTGGCAAAGGTGCATCTGGCATGTTCCCTTCTGAGGCAGCAGAATGGCTCTGCTACCATGCCTTCACTGTCAAACTGTCAAATCACAAAATTATTTACAAATGCCTGCTTAAGCCCTTAAAAATCTGTAAGTATTCCATTACTTTACAATTTGATCTATGGTTAATTGTAATTAAACTTGGAAAGTAATGGATTTTTAAATTTTTCTCATCTCAAAATGTTCTAAAATGTGCATTAATAAGCTTTCTGATTTTAATCAAATTTACTAAGTATAAGTAGGTAAGTTGAAATGGTATGTTTTTCAACACTGCATGTTTTAGAGCCTTGTTCTTATGGGGCAGTTCTTAATATATGTCCCTCAGTAGGTTTGTACAGTTTAGAAGGCTTAATAAGATCAGGTTAATCATATAAGCATTCTCAGCAGGTTTAACTAAATGAAATATCAATGCTCAAGCTTCTGTTTTTAATAACACAGATTAATTGGCAACTAAATAAGTTCTTCCCACAATGTAAACTCCTGCCAAAAAGAGTGTCACCAGGGTCACTTGGAAACAGAAGCACTCGCTGCACTGCATGTGCTGTATTGTAACGGAGTTGGGTGGTGGTGGCATATCTCTGGCACTTCTGCTGGGTGAAAGATGCTGTGTCCCTGGCCCCTGGGGAGCTCTCTCTTTAACCAGTTGTGTGGTCAGCCGCAGAAATAATAGTATTTTCAGTTCTAAAATATTAAAAGTGACCAGCAGGAGGTTCTCCTGAAGCAATCAGTACTGTTCTTGAATTTAGCTCCAGTGAAGGTCAGACTCTCAATGCTGACTGTAGTTTGCACTCTGAGTCATTGCTTGGGCAATTTTATTATACAATATCAAGAAATTCTTTGGTCTCATTCCAGAATAATGCCTATTTGGTTTGAAATGTTTCATAAGCTTCCCTTGATACCTGTACTTAGGCCCAGTGCCCCAAAGAGAGAACAGTTCTCCTTTTGGAAGGAAGCATTTCCTTCACATATCAAAGGCTTGCAGCAATGCCTGAGTGCATGGTCTGGTTTTGGTGGTGCAGTGTGAATGTATAAAGATGAAACTTAAACATTTATAGGAAACAAAGTGATGGTTGGGATTGTACCAACCATGTTTTTGACAGCTATGGACTTCTCCTATGAAGCGGAACTCCAGGAGCCTCTCCCAGAGAAGCTTGTTCTCACAGTTACTGACACCAAAACCAGAGGCCCCATGTCTGATCACTGCTGCTGAGAAGCCAATTCTAGAATTACCAGGGGGTGGCTGCTTGCTTCGTTTGGAGGGGACAGGAGCTGAAGAACTGGGCAGAGAAGGAGGTAGTCTAATCCAATAGGATAATGGCTTCTCTGGAAGCTGCTTCACTTCTCTAAGGTCCACATAGGGCACATTGGAGTTTTCTTCTCTAATGCTGAAGGTTTTGCTCTTGGAATCTTTGACTGGCAGACCACAATCCAAACCAAACCTCCCCCTCCTTCTCTGTGCATGCTGTTGTACCTTCAGGGTGGGAGTGTAGCCCCAGGCAGCTTTGGTGCTCAGCAGGATCTCATCTTCCATGGCTGCATGCATCTGCCATGAAAGGTCTCTGCTGTCCACAAAATCACATCACCGCAGATGCCTGGAAAAATGGGCTGGGAAAATGGTGGAGTTTCCCTAGTTTGCATAGTGATTGTCCTTAGGTTCCTTCTGTGTACCCATACAGCCATTTGCCTAACTGCAATATGGACCTGAAACTTGTGTGTGGTCCAGGCCTAACTGTGTGCACAGTTTCTAACCCAAGAAGGGAAAGCTAACCATCTATCAGTTGGCTTCTCTGGCAGTGAGAATTTCCCTTGAGAAATGGCATAATCTTTCTTCCTAAATTCCTGGTAAAACTTAGTTACATTGTACTTGCTGAGTATGGAGTATGAGTGGAGGTGGAGCAGGTAAAGTCCAAAAGTCAGTAGCAAATTAATGGTGACATTCTCTTGAAAAGAGTAATTTCCAGCTATTCTTTGATAAATCTTGCCTTCTCTGAGGCAAAACCTGTTCTTCACATGCATAGTGTCAAGACAACCCACTCTTTTTATCTACAATGCCCAGTTTATTTTGGGAATATCTGAAAATTCAAGCGCTCTGCTGAAAGATCTGGGATTCAGGGATCTTTGCATAAGCTGCCTAAGCAATTAGCAGGCTATAACTCGTTTTTATGGTGAAGATTGAAGCATTTGCTATGACTGGTCAACAGATCACTGGGGCCCAAGTAATTCAAATGCCATCTGTGAAATATCTCCATTTGCTTATAGCCCCCTGAAATCTTACCTGTACTTCCACTATCCCTGTTCCACCTATGCTTCAGGGGCTGATGCAACACTTGGTGGAGCACTTCTGTAGCTGCTGTTTCTATGAAAAGCTGCCAAAATATCTTCTGTGTAATTTGGCAGGAGGGTAGCTGTTTGGGGTCAGCTGTTTGGGATCAGCTTGTCATGCAACTTGAATTCTTAGCAGTGACTGTAGTTTTGAGAGATGCTTTGACTGCATGTATATTTGCTTCCCACCTGCCTTTCTCCTTCTTTTAAGTGTCAGTTAAGGTTTAAAAAATCAGTTCAAACTGTTTTTGAAAAGGAACTAAGGAGGCACCACAAGCCCCACCTAGGGGCCGAGCAGGAGAGAAGGTGAGGCATCAGTATGCTGGTGCTGTAAAGCTGTACAAATGACATCTTGTAGTGATAAGTCACATGAGTACCTTTGGTGTGAATATGCATCATTATCTCTATATTTCCAAGATTTCTGATCATAGGTAAAGGCAATTTTTCAGTCCCTGAACATACATGGTAATTACATTTATATTTTCTTCCAAATTTACTATGATACTAAGTCTCCTGATCCTGCAGGAGCACACTGAAATCCACTGAAAGAGACATTGATAGATAATTTTCTATACAGTCTTATAAATTAGTTTTGCTTGCTCTGCATCAGGCTTATTCTTGGGTAATGTTCATTGACATAAGTGAAATCTGATGAGATGAGTCCTGTGACTGGATGGTTACAGGCTCTTCAGGAGGAATAGGCAGGGAAGGTGAGGTGAGGGGATGGCAAAGGGTCATGGTGAATGGGATTACATCAGGCTGGCAATGGGTCACCAGTGGGTTCCGCAGGGCTCCATCTCAGGCCCAGTGCTCTTCAGTGTCTTCATGAATGACTTGGACACAGGACTTGAAGGTCTACTAAGTAAATTCATAGATGATACAAAATTGGGAGGAGCTGTTGACTCCCTTGAAGGCAGAGAGACCTTACAGAGAGACCTGGACAAATTAAGAGAGCTGGGCAATCACCAACCATATGAAGTTTAACGAGGGCAAGTGTCAGATTTTGCACCTAGGATAGGACAACCCTGAATGTATGGACAGGCTGGGGAATGAGATGCTGGAAAGTAGTGCCACAGAAAGGGACTTGGGGGTCCTTGTCCATGGCAAGTTGAATATGAGTCAACAGTGTGCCCTGGCAGCCAAGAGGGCCAACCATGTCCTCAGATACAGCAAGCAAGGCATTGCCAGCTGGTCAAGGGAGGTGATTGTCCTGCTCTGCTCTGCACTGGTGCAGCCTCACCTTGACTGTTGTGTGCAGTTTTGGGCACCACAATATAAGAAAGATTTTGAGTTATTGGAGTTTGTCCAAAGGAGGGCCACGAAGGTGGTGAAGGGCCTTGAGGGGAAGCCATATGAGGAGTGGCTGAGGTCACTTGGTCTGTTCAGCCTGGAAAACGGGAGACTGAGAGGAGACCTTATTGCTACATACAGCTTCCTCATGAGGGGAAATGGAGGGGCAGGCCCTGATCTCTTGTCTCTGGGAACCAATGACAGGACCTGAGGGAATGGTCTGAAGCTGCATCAAGGGAGGTTAAGGCTGGATATTAGAAAATGGTGCTTCACCCAGAAGGTGGTTGGGCACTGGAACAGAGTCCCCAGGGAAGCTTGACAGAGTTCAAGAGGCGTTTGGACAAAGCTCTCGGGCACTTGGTGTGATTATTGAGGATGTCCTGTGCAGGCCCAGGAGTTGGGCTAGATGATCCTCAAGGGTTCCTTCCAACTCTGATTATTCTGTGATTCTGTAATGTGATTGTAATCAGAACATCATGTTGTAGAGAAGGTTACTATAGAGCTAAGCATTATGTAAATATATTGGAGCTAATTTTAAACAATTCATTTAAAGTTTTGTCTTACTTCTGGAAATCAGGTAGCATGTGTGGATGTCAGAGCAGTTGTGACATGGAAGTCACTGACTCTCAGGTGTGATCCTATAAAGTTAGCTCAGTATCTCTATATGGTACAGTAATCTGTAGCACAGAGATAACCAAGGCTGGTAATAGCCCCTGTGTTGACTTAGCAGCTACATTTTTTGTTGTCATTTTGGAGTTTGTATTGGCTATATAAAACCTATTACTCTTGTAGGATCATGTTGTTGACAGGAATTGATATAAACCTGGTTTTCCTTGTGTCCCTGCACATGTCTCCATTACTCTCCATGTGAATCAATATCAAGCTCATAGATTTTGGGGAGGAGATTCTTCCCACTATTCCCAAACCTGTTAAATATCAACATGAGGGACTTGTCAGTGTGAGCAGTCACCATTCTTCAGAGTTAAGTATTTAAAACATAGTTACTGTTTAACATTCTTCCTATTATTATGTGCAGGGAAAGGAGCAAGAGTCTTTTCTTATCATGATGAGATAGAAATACATCATCTGTCTCCTTTCTAAATACAGAACAAATGTTTATTGAGCACTTCTGGCTTTCTGCACCATTGGCAATTTTGCTGACTCTGTTTAGGTGACAGACTTAAGCTGTTGCTAGGATTTTACATGTTCTTCCTAATCTTTAAAAAGTCCTTTTTACTGTCTATAATGCTGTTGATGGTAGATTCAGTGACCTTCTGTGTTCAAAACTATTGTGTTCTCCTGTAAAAATTGCATTCCTGACAGTCTCATTTAGTCTCCAGTATCTTCCACCTTAAGGGTGGCTTTCCAGTTAGTCTCTCTTCTCTTATAAGGAGACACAGCTGGGAGAGTTGTTGTTGCCAGTCTTATAGAAAAAGGTTCATTTTCCATTTTTTTAAAAAATCTTTTGTTTTGCATATGTTAGTGCCAAGCATAAGCTACTTTGATGTCATGTCTGAAAGCAGAGGAATAAAGAAATATTTTAGGAATACCTTCCTGTGACAGATAAGGACCTGTCCCTTGTCCTTAGCATTGTTTAAAACAGGATCATTCAAAGTAACTATGGTTTGACAGAAGACCTTTTTGGGGGATAAAGTTATTGAATAAATGGTCTATGGTTTTTGTATCCGAACAAAAAAGTGTTACAAGAACAGAAAGTAGGAGGAATTTGATCCTTGGTTTTCATTGTTAATATTTTCATGTCTAATTTATTAGCTTGATTTAAGGGTGGGAGAATAGTAGCATATTTTATTATAGTTTTGTCATATACCCTTATTACAGGTGTTTCAACTTTTTAATTGGATTTAGGTAGCCTTGATTTCATTACTTCATGAGTATTTTCCCTAAACCAGAATTGATAGTTACTGGCAATTGTAATGAATTATTTCTGACATTTTGGTAGGTCAGATGAAGCTATTCAGTAAGATCCCGAAGGCTACTATGGTATTACTGAAGGCAGCGACAGAACCATCTCTTTATCAAGATTTCAAAGCTATCCTGGACTAACCGAATGAAGTTTATTTCATACTTTTTCCAGGTTTGAAATGTCTTTAGGTGACTCATCTCTGTAGTTTATTTTGGTAGACTGGACCAAAAGCAACTTCACACAGAAATTTTCTGTGTTTGTTTCTCAAATAACACACAAGGTCTAAAAAAGGGGAAACAATGTTAATACCTTCTTGCGGGGTTGGTTGGGTTTGGGGTTATTTTTGCAAATTCATAGGCTATTTGAAGCAATTGTCTTGGTTTTGTTCAGTAAATCCCATCTGCTTGATGAAGGAATCATTAAATTATGTTCTGTACGAAATGATCTACTTTTTGTTTCAGTGGGTTGTTTTGAAGGACTGCTTTTTACTTCTCTGTATTGCAGACTATTCTGTAATAAATTGCCTGGTGAATTGCAATGATATGTACCTGTTTCCAATGTCTTTACTTTATAGTAATCTTTAATTCCTGCCCATCTGGGTTATGTCATGAAAAACAGTTACCCTGCACAGGGCAAGCACCTTGCATGGCACTAGGAAGAGGCTAGAAATTTTATGATTTGGAGATCATAACTTATATATGCCAAAATTTCACAATCTAAGCTGGTTATGGTTAGTGTATGTTTTATATATCTTGAATACCTGGTGATATTTTTTATACAATGTTATACAGAATGGTGCTGGTGCATTTTTATCTACAAAAGTTCTTGATTAGATAATATACTGAGTATGTTGCTCTTCTATATTCATTTACTGGTTTTTATTTAGGTTTATCTTTGGCCCTATGAAAAGAAACATTTTACAAGAAGGTGTAATGATAGGATGAGGAGGAATGGCTTTAAACTAAAAGAGAGTAGGTTCAGATTAGATGTTAGGAAGAAATTCTTTACTATGAGGGTGGTGAGGCTCTGGAACACATTACCAAGAGAAGTGGATGCCCCATCCCTGGAAGTGTTCAGGCTGGATGGGGCTTTGAGCAACCTGGTCTAGTGGAAGCTGTCCCTGCTCATGGAAGGGGTTTCAGAATTAGGTGATCTTTAAGGTCCCTTCCACCCCAAACCCTTCTATGATTCTATGATGATGTTACTGCAGTACTGTCTAGCCCTGGTATTGGCATGTTGTGCTGAATTTTGCCCTGTGGCTGCTCTGATAAACCTGCCATGTATGTGGAATGGTACCAGGGGCTTGTGGGTTGAATTTGCCTTGCTCTAATGTGGAGCCATTTTATTACAGGCTAAATAGCAGCTGCTAGAAGGTTTTCTCAATGCAGATGAAGGATATCTTGCTGAAGAGAAAGACAGTGTAGTCAGTGGTATTCGGTAGATGTTTTCAAAGGATTGGCAGACCACCACCACACAGGGACGGGTAATACAGCTCCTAGAATTTGATTTGCAGTATTGCAATCTGTCCATTAGCATCATAAAATGTATGGTTAGTCATACAAGTTTTTGGGTTTTTTCTTTCTATGAAGTGGCACTGTTAAAATAAATTTTATAAAAGCCATAGAGCAATTGCTCCTACAAGAGATGAAGAACAACCCAGTTGCTCCCCAGCCAGCAGTTCAAACATTTAAACCCCCCTGTGCTCCTCAATGGTCTGCAGTGATACTGGTGTGAGGGAGCACTGTAATGGACAATGCCACTTAAGAGAGGCCTGGTGGTGCAGGAAACCTTATTTTATTAGATCGTGTGGCAGGAAGAGACAGTGAGATGCTCCAATATGAAGAATGGAGGGAATGTAAACTTCACCAATGGCTTGGATTAGCCCATCTTTTCTCTGTATCACAGTGGATACTGTGATAATATAAATTGCTGATGCGGTCTCAGTTGAAGGTGTAATTTTATAAAAACTAATAAAGTCTACTGCTTGTAGTTGTCTGAGATGGTGTTTGCCTTTCCCCATAATCACTGGCTGAGTCACCAGTTTTTAAAACCACTGTTTCTGAAGGCTGTTTGTAAAACAGATACAAATACAGTGCAGAAATCACAAGAGAAGACTATTTCATTTGCAATATCCTCCACTGAAGGAGGCAAGTGAAAATACAGCTGAAACTAGTATGTGTTTTAGCAAATGGAGATTTTGGAAATTTGAAGAGCTGACAGTTGGTACTGGAAACTTGAACTTGCTGCTGCACTTATGAAAATTGGAAAAAAATAGTATGAGTATGTGTGTGAGGAATAGATTAAGCATAGCAAGGGGATACATTTATTGCTCTAAAATTAGATGTTTATACCGTTGGGAAGGTAGAAATATTCCATAAAGCTACTTCTGCACAGAACTGTTCTAAATGGAATAGCGTGATATATCAAGGTGGTAAATATAGTCTGCGTCATTGGTAGCAAGGCAGAACATTAAACAGCTACTGCTGACAGGAAACATGTGAGTGAATTGAATAACTTGAATCTGGAAATATTAAATGAATTAGCTTAGGCGCTTTCTGAATTTCTAATGTGGATTTTCAGCAATCATTGGACAGCTGGGAAAATTGCAAAAGATTTGAGGGTTGGGGTGAAGGTTAAGATTATCTCAGTATGTAAGAGAAGGTAAGTATTGAAAGCCAAACCACTCAACATAATTCACTGCAGCCTACGTTGCGAGTGTTGCAAATCTCTCTGCAGCTGAGCTTGCTGGAGGGTTCATGTGGGGAGGAAGAGAGACAGGGCTGAATGTAGCTTTTTAGTGTGTCTGCAGAGCTCTAAGGAAGAAATTTGACCAAAGCTCCTCTAGAGGAATTCATAGTATCTGGATGCATCCATCAAACACAGCCTTCTCCCTGCTGCTTCCTTTTGGAGGGAATTGTGGACTGTGAATCTTAATTTGAGGTAGGTATCAAATTTTACAATGTAGGAAACTGCCTGTCTTCGGAAGAAATGTGCTTTTCTCTCTGCATCTTTTCTCCATTTATTGTATTATGGTAGTTCAGATATGTCCTTATTTATAGTGCTGTTGCAGTGCTCCTGAGGCTTTTTCCTTGTCTTGGGGCTGTGGATTCTCCTTTAGGCTGAACACCACCATGCTTGTGTTTGTATCCTTTATTGATTTACCCCCAAAGAATCCAGGCTGTCCCTACAGCCTAGACAATTCGAGAAAAGTCTTGTCAGAACAGTGTGAGTTCACTGCAGAATATTATAGCACAGGAGATTTGATGGGATGTGGAGATAAAAAATTGGGAGGAGAGTGAGCAGAGTTAGAAAGCCCTTAGCATGTAGGACTTGAACACGTTCAGTTACATGTTTGCATGCACATGGTTACTCAAGTAACAGTCAGTCATGCTATTCAAGACAAAAAGGTACCTATAAGATGCTGTGCTTCACATTAATAGGAAGGGGAAGATTGTAGCACTAATTTTTCTGGAATAAGGCTACAATTTTGGCACAGGAGTTTTGGTAGAGGTCACATCAGAAGTGCACTGAGAACAGAAAGGCAATGTTCATGCAAGAGTTGGTAAACACGTTTTCTACATGCCTACTTCAGCTAAACAGTAACTTCAGCTGCTGCATTTCCCTGCCATCATTTGTGGTTACTGGAGCTGAAAACTGTCTTTCTTCCCCATGTCCTGTCCCAGGATGAACTGCATGTCTTGTGACCCATGAAGTCTCCCTTCTGGTGAATGGGAAGGGGCAGCTCAAAAGTCAAGAAGTCTGTGACTGCCATGACAATGACTCAAGACGAGTTTATAGACTTGAAAGTCTGGTACATATAGTTTAATTATTTTCTCAGCTTGTGTCTGTATTAGTTGGATGTGGTTTTGTTTGTGAACAGAACTCTGACTAAACACTTAAACCTGCTGCATATACTTGCATACATGATTTTAATAAACATTTAGCTATCTGTAGACAGAGACATGAATATAGAGTATGCTTTAGTTAAATTTCTTATTTGTGTATTTACAGATTTTATGTGAATATATGTGTAAAATTGAAATGATTCATTTTTTTGTTATTCATTTCTTATCAAAGCATTTTTTACTCACTGCAAATTTAATTTGCAACAGGAAGAGTGGCAATTTAAATCTTTCATGTCATTGTCAAGAGCCTTTGTGGTTCATAGGTGCAAAACATCAAGAACTTTGCTTGGACCTTTGTGACTTGTGAGGTTTCTGCTAACAGAAGCTGTGTTTCCATGCTGGGCTACCTCCCCCTCTATTGACTTGAATCTGGGGCTGTTGGCAGGCTACCATGGGGAATTGCTGGATATTATCATGCAGGCCATTGGCCAAATCCATGGCTCTTGTCTGCATAGCCCAGACACTTAGCTGTTTTGCAGGTGATACTACTCATCCCACATAGTGGAAGAGCCAGGAAGCTCTGGCCTGGCAATTAATTGCTGTGCACACAAGATGTTTACCCATGCATTTCTTTCCAGCAGGTAGAGGTATGGTGTGTTTTTCATCATCTGGTGAATGTGGTGTAGACAGATTGGATGTCACTGTTTCTAGTACCATCACTGCTTCAGAAGAGTCTTACTGTCTAGGCTAGTGCATAGAATGATTGAATCATTAGCGTTGGAGAAGACCTCCAAAATCATCAAGTCCAACCTGAAGTTGCAGGTCTGGAGTTTGCAGCAGCAGCTGTGTGAGAGGGATACTAAAGCTAAAAAAGAAAGAATCTAAAAAAATTTAGCTGCAAGATAGAAATCATCCCCTCTCCCTCTTGGGTTTGCAGTTCCCCTTTGTGCCCCTTTCAAGGAGTTGGGTAACTGCCTTTGCTCTACAGAGTTTCAGTTGGTCTCATTCATCTTCACTGTGTGGCCAAATCATAGAATCATCGAGGTTGGAAGAGACCTCTAAGATCACTGAGTCCAACCATTAACCTGCCACTCTGCTGTAGCCCCTAAACCCTGAACCATGTCCTCCAGCATCAGATCCCAATGCCTCTTAAACGCTTCCAGGGATGGTGACTTCACTGCCTCCCTGGGCAATCTATTCTGTGCCTGACCACCCTAACAGTGAACATTTTTTTCCTAACATCTAATCTGCATCTCCCCTGTCTCAGCTTATGACCGTTCCCTCTAGTCCTCTCA